CACGCACCAGAGTTGTTAGTCATGAATTAATGTGTACTAGAGCAGTTATTCATTACTTGTTCAGGTGGATCAGTACTAAATGTGAGAGCCTTGTTTATATGTGTATTGTGGTATGTGGTATATTGAAGAAATCACTAAGTTTTATTCTTATATTTGTGGATTAAATGTTCTTTAGATACTATGTTAGATCGTGGGAAGGGTAATGCTTAACTATAAACTCACATCAGCTTTATATATTTTGAGATTTCAGCATGTTCTATCTTATACTCTGATTTGGATATTCCATTTTTAATCATCAAACTATAACTTTCTTTATAAATGAGTGAATGTTTTAATTGAAATATTATCTTTATAAAATGAAAAATTAGTTTTCAAATATGACATTACACTATGAGAACTTCAGATATTATTGAATGCAAATGATGTTATTACTTTTGGTTCAAATCAAATATAGGATAATATTTTGACTATGTGGACCTCTACTAGAATCCTGACTCCTATTTATTTGACATGCTCCCAGCCTCCCACCTGTGGCATATCACTTGGTAACCTAAATGTAGATTTGTTTTGAGTATTCCCCATTTTTATATGATCAAGTTTAGGATCTATTATGTAAGGAACAAAAAATTTACTATAGTGTTGATTATACGTGAATTATTTGGTATCACACACAAAGAGAATATATATATATATATATATATATATATATATATATATATATATATATATATATATATATAAATTAGGTTCATTTGAGACCAATGATATTTTGTGAGACATGGGGACAACATCTTAGCCTTTGATTAAAACTAATCTAGTGACTCATAAAGAACATGATTAACACTAATTAATGTACTTGATTAGATAATTAGGGGCAGATTAGTCATTAGGTTATACATAACATCTTCACTAGATCTAATAGATTATTAGTGTCATATTTACATCATCAAGAACATACTCATCTGCTTCGATTCTTCTAGCAAAATCATTACTCCTATGTGATCGATATTCCTTAATATTCATATTCATGTAATCAATCTTGTTACGATAATTATGTTGCGTCATTGGGCCTTTTGTATTGTTTGTTTTGTAAATGGGTTGGGCTTGTCCTCCGATATTTATTTACTAGGGTTAGAGTATTTAATATGCATGCATGCATCGTTTTTTTTGGTAACTCTGATATTATATTGTAACCCTAATCACGCCTCTACATTATCAATTCTTCATCAAGTTCTTTTGAGGCGTGACTTTTGAATCATTCAACATATTTTGAGTCATCGTTGTGTTCTTGCTTTTATTTGTTTAAATATAATCGATCATTCATGGATTATTATTCCTAACAATCGGTATCAGAGTAGGAGACTATGTAAGAAATACGCATCTCTTTTGTTTAAGAGCTTTTAGGGTTTCTGTGACTACTGGGTCAAGCTTAACGATCATCACTTTGTTCTTGACGTTGTTTAGCAATCTCAATATCACCCTAAAATTGCTTTAGTTTTACACGTTTGATTGTTAACAGGTTTTAAAGATCTTATCATCATGCAGTACGAAGATTCTCGCATCAACTCTATCAATGTTTCAAGCAGCATTGGATCGACCACCATGATCCCAATTCTCCTCCCTAATGAATATGAACTTTGGGAACTTCACTTCGAAGATTATGTTCTCAGCCTAGAAGATAATGGATATCCGATATGGGAGGCTATAACTCTTGGACCGTTTGTTCATATTGAAAGCAAAAGAGTTATCAAAACTCAAAACGACTACAACAAACTCCTTCTTGATATTAAGGACGTTCCTCAAGATGAAAAAGAAAAACTAGTCGACAATGTTAAGGCATTGAGAATCATTCGATTTGCCTTGCAAGCTGACACTTTTCGTTTGGTTAGTTCTTATGACACTACCAAAGCCATCTGGCAAGAAAGGAACTATCCACTTTGGCGATCCAATGTATAATGATGATAGGCTCCCTCCTTCCCATGAACCAAGGAGCCCCACAAGCATAAAACTCCTTGAAGGTGACCTTACAAGCCCATGGCCGACTGGCCTCCAATTCAGCTCACATAATCCTAAAGTGCTCATCCATCACTGAAAACATCTCATCCCTAAATGTGTTGATCATACCATACGAATCCTCTATCATGAACCTCAAAACCTCTACAACGATGATGTCGAGGACATCCCTATCATAAACCTCGAAACCTCTACAAAATCATTTAATCCACAACTGTAAGCATAAAGCTTAGTGATTTTCCCAGTATACCACATATTCCACCATACATACAATGCATACAAACAAGTGCTCGGCTCTAGTGTCGACCTACCAATTTATCATATCAACCTGCATATATAAAAACCATACATATCATACATTGACACTCTATCACTACACTACTACAGGCTCTCAGCCACCACTACTACCAACTCTCAACCGTCAACTACTATCGGCCCTCAATCAGCCTGTGATCATCGGCCTATAGCCAGAACAATATCGATACCAAGGATGATTCCACCTTATGAATAAATTGACATATGTAGTCAGAGATCTGATAGACAGTCGAACATATGATCCTACCTAAAAGCAATAAATCAAACAAGACATGTGAACAATCCAACACCAATATAGGATCAACCTCAAACTACAACCCAAATCCTTCAAGTTTGGCCTATGGTCAAACTGGTCAACAGTCAACAAAAGTCAATGGTACCACTTCGTGTCGAGTCCTTGGCCATTTTGTGGCCAATTCCAGACAAAACAGACGTGTTGCAGAACGCCACCACACCATGGGACTTCCTTGGCCATGTCGTGGTTTCATTCAACATGACATTTTCTTGATTAAGAGTTTAATCCTTATAGATGAAGGCTCGTAACTTAATATCTGGTTATTCTATATGACTTAATGGATAAAGTTTCCAACTTTAACCAATAAATCATCACCATAATGCAAGATCTTAAACCCTAAGTCCATTAAGCTCTCATAGTGACAAAAACTTTATGCATGACTCAAAGGAACCAAGACCTAACAATTTTTTCATCATATCAAGTCCATAAATGGTGACTAAGCAAGTCTTAGGTTCTGGAGTTTTCTCAAAACTCCAAGAATATCCCTCTAAAGGATTCAAAAGGACCTCAAAGCATGTAATGAGAAATATGAATGATAAAGGTGGAAACTTTATACCTTCTAAAGTTCCACAAGATGCAGGAGATGCAAGATCTGAAATAGAAACAACCCTTCAATCAACAAGCTCTCCACCTTCTTCTCTCAAGTTGCACTTCAAGGCTTAAAACATTAAGAACACCATACAAAAACCAAGAATACTGAAGTGTCGACTAGGGTTTTAAATTGGGATGATGGAGGAAGAAGATAATGACCTAAACATATAGATCAAGCCCTTAAATATGGAGGAAGCCCTAAACTTAATGGATTTGGGCGGCATCATTCACCACACTGTGGTGAATACCTTACCACTCCGTGGTGACCATTTGATACACATTCTTCATTTACGTGATGTGGCCACATCGTGGTAATCATCCTACCATGTCGTGGCTAAAGATTTTCTCCAAAATAATATCTTCAGGATCCTTAGGTCTTCAATTGATTGGATCAGTAAAACGGGTGTTACAAAAAGGGTTGAATATCAAACTCAAGTTATACTTTCTCATCTATTTGATGCAAATCAAGTAGCAATTTGGCTTGTGACCATAAATAGCGACTCTTTTAGTCACTTTGCTCTCATAACCAATGCAATAACATGCTCCACTATAAATATGTTCCATACGTCACAATCAAAGATATCAACAATACATCTCTCGTATATTCAGAGTCTCATACTTCTATTTATAACATCGTCTAAATTGATCGTTGGAGTGCATTTCTAAGACAACATCCAAGAGTAAGTTGAAACATTTATTTTTTGTGTGTGAACGATACTAGATGCACCACCATGTAGTAGTAGAGAGACATTATGAGGAATTGGGTATCATCATCTATTTTGCTCCTAACATAATTAGCATGTTTATAACCCTCTTTGTTCTATAGTCCATACTCCATAATAAATCATGACATCAAGTGCTCATTTAGCATATGTTTTTAAGGAGCTAACTATGTTAACTTGTATCATTTCAATGTACCCAAAAGTTGAAATACAATAAGATCTTCTTATGTAATTGACTAAAAACATATAAACATTGATAGGAGGATCCTAATAAAGCTTGAGAAATCAAAATGATGTTCAATTTTTCTTAACAAATACCAAAACCCTATAAATTTTATTCCCAAATAATTGAGAACCAAAATTCTTTAAGCAAAAAGTTGGGTTATGTCTATCATGTTTGAGACCAACAATTTGATAGCATTAATAAATCATGTCAAGCTCGATTTCCAATTTTTTCCATGGGGGGTCAACCTGGATCCGACACAGAATTGCTACCCTAAGACATACTAAAAACAAACAAATAGATGTGACAACACAAGAAATAATATGAAGGCGAGGCAAACTTTTGTATGATTGAATGAATTTGTTATAAGTGTTTGAAGAGGGGAGGACAACCCCACATGTTTGAAAATGGGCATATAAAAAGCCATTCACATACATCCAATGGTTAAAACGAAATGACATAATCGGTTCAAATAAGTTAAATATGATGAAACAAATTTAATAGAGTAAATTATTTTGGTCCTTCAACATAACCCCTTTTTTTCAATTTTGGTCCCAAAATATTCTCTTGCAATTTTTGTCGTTAATAAGTTATTTTATAGTGTTTTTTGTCCAAGTTCCATGAGCATTACTATATTTTTGGATTAAATTTGCAAAAGTCAACTATACAAATCCACTGAACCAAAAAACATTAGGAGAACCTCAACAGTGGAATAAAATTGTTAAGGGAATACGTTTTATGATAAAATTGCAATAATAAATTGTCCTGAGCCAAAAATGAAATGTACTCGATTTAATATGAGATAATAATATCGAACACAAAATCAAGGTTAATTGAAAAATGCAACACATATTGTAGACCAAGATCATGCAAAAAAAAACACACAATTGATACATATATTTACATATATAAAATGTGAAATTACATGATAAAATAAATGAGAAAAAAAAAAAAAAAAACACTATTTGGGTACATTGACTTTTCAAACCATCATTACAGACCGCCGACAGTGGTGGTTCATGGTGGCGGTGGTCCTCCATTGACGTTCACAGTGTAGGAAAGACAAGAACACAAGTTACAACAGTAAAATTACCAAATACCCAACAAGAAAACAAGACATAATCACTATTGGGTCCCACTCAAGACACACCAAGCTTTCAACTTTTTTGTCCAATCCTTGACCTTCACCCTAACCCTACATGTGAACTTACTAAATTGCCCCTGCACACGCAAAATAACACACGGTGGTTCACATGTATGATGATTATCCATCATTCACGAAAACACTTGAGCATGGTTTGATGGGTCGTAAAACTTTCTCTTCACAAAACTTTCAACTTTATGTTTTTTATGCCCTATTCTTGGTCTTCATCACAACCCCACATCAAAATTACCGAATTATCCCTAACACACATATCAAAATTACCAAATTATCCCCAACACCGTAGCTTTCATTGAAAATCACCATCCGTCAATCAAGGAACCACTCACGGATGCCTTGATTGTTTTCAAACTTTCTCTTCACAAAGATTTCAACTTTATGCCCAAATCTTGATCTTCATCACAACCCCCACATTAAAATTACCAAATTCTCCCTAAAAAAAGCACGCAAAAGTTTCCCTAAATGATCATAAACCATAATTCAAGACGCCACTTGATTGCCTTCACGGGTTCCAAACTTTACCTTCACAAAACAAACATCTTTATGACCAATTCTTGCTTTTCTTCACAACCGCATATCAAAATTACCAAATTCTCCTTACACATACAAACACACACTACCTTCCTAAAATGATCATCATCCATCATTCCCACCTGAAGATGCGTTGAAAGGTTCCATGCTTTATGTCAATTCTTGCTCTTTATCACAACCCCACAACAAAATTACCAAATTCTCCTAACACATACAAACCCCCAAAACACACACACACACACACACACACACTAGTATCCATACACGATCATAATCCATGATTCAAGAAACGACTTCAAGCTTCAAACTTTATCTTCACAAAAGCTAACAACTTTATGCCCAATTCTGGATCTTCATTACAACCCCACATCAAGATCACCAAATTCTCCTTCCAATCAAGTTACCATCAATTGTACCACATAATAAGCATAAAGTACAAAAAAATCTTGAACATCTTTTAAAGAGAATCAAGCCCCAAATCTTTAGCTTTCTCCTTCAAACTTCTCAAATAACAGATAGCTTCATCAATAACCATTACAGCACTCTTTCCATTTTTATCACCAGGAATCAAATTCTGAAGCAAATTTATAGTCTCCTTCATCTTGTCTTTCCTCAATTTCTTATTACTCAACAACAAATTATCCAATTCTTCCTCAAACACTCCAACTCCCTCATTCCCAACCCCAGATTCCCCCGAGCTTGCAGTGTCCTCGAGTGAATTTACAATACTACCCCCGTCCTCCCGCTTACGCTTTTTCCCATCTCCCCCAGAACTCGCAACTTCCTCTTCTTTTCCTTTCCCATTTTGCCCTTTTTGTTCAAGAAACATCATTGAACTAGGGGAATGCCCTGTACTCGTCTCCTCAGAATAATCATTTTCATCATCATCATCAGAGTACAACAATGCATTAAGCTCTTCAGTATCCTCCCTCATCTCACTTTTTGAATCATTTTCTTTAATACGAACCGGGTTTGACCCGGATTGCGGTTTCGGGTTATTTGACAACGGGAATTGGTATCGAATAGGAGCGGGTCCCACTCCCGAACTATAAATCAAAGTTGTTTGATCACCGGATTGATCAAACACAAGAAACTTCTTTTGTACACCATTTGTGGTGTGACCCACATCAGGGATTGTGGTTGTAACTTGAAGTTGTTCTTTGTTGTTAACCACAGGGATGACATTGACACCCTGGCGATGACGTGGCAAACCGTAGAACCAACCACATGGTTCTTGACGCACCATGTTCCCAAAACATGGGATTGTAGCTCGAGGCCCAGAACCAAATGGGACACTCGGTGGAATCTGATTGGATGATTGCCAATCGATTTTCTGGTTTTGAAACCAAGATTCAAAACCCCTTTCCATTAATCACCTGAAAAAATGTGGTTTTGATGAAAAAGATTCCATTTGGATGAAAAAGATACAAACTTGAACATCAGGAGACTTACGGGATGTTGAATGATGACTTGAAAGTGTGTGTAAAGATTTCTGAAAACTTCTAAACGAGATGAAAACAAAAGAGTCCACAGCTTAATTTGATCACGAAAATAAAATTAAAAAGAACTACGTTACAGGTTTAAGCAAATGGCGGAAGTATTCGGCCTGAAAAAAAAAAAAAAAAAAAAAAAAAAAGCAACCCCACAAAAAGAACAGTATTAGATTCATATTGTCTAACTCATAAAACATAGACATATTGTAAAGCGAATGTGATTCAAAGACAAGAATGAACATCAAAAAGTTGTAAAGAATTCAATTCTTTGAATAAAGATTGATTAAAATAATAATAATGATAAACGTTAAACGTGAAACGCAAGGATTTTGATGATATTACTATAACTGTGTAGATTTTCTTATCAAGAATTGTACATTGAAAAATCTACTCAATTATAGTATTGCACGTTAAATTTGTTCATATTAGGACATTATACTATAGTTTGAAAAACGTAACCAATTAAGGCGATAAAATATTAAAATTCTTTTTGTATGTGGATGAAATTAATATAATTAGATAGATTTTTCCAACTACATCATCGTAGTTTGAAAACTCTACCCAATTATTGCGTTATATTTATATGGTGTTACTATAATTGGGTAGATTTTTTCTTTTGTTTTTTATAATACTTGTAATAAAAGAATGAAAGTAGGATGCGATTTCTTGCATTTAATAATAATTAATAAATGAAAGTAGAAATTATAACGAACCTGACAATCATCTAGAGGTTGAAAGCATGCTATAACTTTAACAATTATGGTGGCGCTCCCAGCTGTTCCATTTTCGTGTTTCAAAGCCCGAAATCTTGTTTGTCCAGCTGATTGACACACCATAACTACTTTTTACCTACTCTTATATTCAGTTTAACTCCCCTAAAGATCTTGATAAACAATCCAAGAAAATAAAACCCAAGAAAGATTCTAAAAAAAAATGCGATTTTTAATTGAAATTAGAACGGGTTTTGGGTTTTGATTCAACTAATCCAGCGACAGTAGCAAGGGATGACAACAAATAGATTGGTTCCCATGGATGAAAGTTTGAAAACGATTGCTAAAAGCGAGAAATCGGGAGGGGTAATAAGGTAATTTAACAGAGCTTCGATAGGCTTTACAGAATCACACGACAATAGAGGTTGAGAGAGATGATTTTGCGATAAACATCTACTGATAAGCTATACCACCGCATGCTCGTTGTGATGAGGGCTTTCTTTTCGTTTTTTTTTTTCAAAGCAACTGTAGAAACATAAGTAGATGCATATTAGATTACAAGAATATGAAAACGAAGTTTCATGATTTTATGAACACCAAGAACAGATAGGTAATTTCACACTTATATCAAAATTGAAGTTACCAATTCTATAGAACGATAACAATAAATGTTGTGATTTGTTCCATTTTGGTCACACTTTTTCCTCATGCCACTCTTAACTTTTTGACTTCCTTGTTAATATAACAATATTAAACAATTAGGAAAGTATATTAGCTATAAATAATCGAAATAGACTTTTAGAAGATTGAGAACTACTCCCAATGAAGTGATTTGATGCAAAAAGGTTGAGTTTTTGAGGAATTGGTAGCATGTGTAAGTTTGATTTTTTACAGAATAATAACTTTTTACTGCATAGTTTCACATAAAAAGTAGGGAGTTTGAAATCAATTAAAAGAATTAAGCTCGAATTTCTATTCAAAATAGATGTATCGAGTGTTTTAAAAGGAGGAAAATGCCCTTCACTTTACACATACGCAATGAATCCTCGTTTGGTGATCAATAATATATTAATAACAAAATAATAAATGATTGTAGAACACACAATAAACCATTTAGAAACATAAAATGCAATGGATTAAGAAGCCCCAATACCACCAAAACCCAGAATCCAAATAGAGATAATCAGAGAAAATTGATGTAGAATATACGAAAAAAACATTATTCAAGTAGAGAATGTTCATCTGAAAACAGTAAATCGGGATACTAAAACATGAAGTAATGAATCTCAAGTCCCAAGATCAGATCAAATTCAAAACCGAGAAACGACTCAGATAGGAACAATACCAGAACACAGAGTGAATGTTGATCATGAGAATCGAAATTTGAGAGAAAATTACCTTGCAAGAATCGAAACGCAAATCAGCAATCTTGTAATCTGAAAAACCCAGAAAGAAGGCAGACAATGAGATTAATAAAAGGCAGAGCACGGGAAGATGAACGGGAGAGAGAAAAAGAGAAAGGTGGAGAGAGAGTGCACGGGGGAAGAGAGAGAATAAATAGACGAAGGAATTGACAATCAATGTTTAACCCCCAGCGCGTGCAAATAGACCTCTGTGTTTGTGTGTGTGTGTTTTGACTACGTGTGAATCGCACGCTTGGTTTATAGGTTTTCCTTTTTTTTTTTTTCTTATAATCATTGTATCAAGTACTTTACCGATTAAATTAGAGAAATAATAAATGTATTAATAAATATTAAAGTTTTTTTTTAATACCAAAAGGTTTCTTGATTAGTAGGTTTTGTTGGGCTAAAAAACTCTTTGGTAAAGTTTTTTTTTTCTTTTTCAATTTGTAAAAGAAAATAAAAACAATGTTTTTTTAACATTTTCCATAATTACAAAAAACTACAAATTTAGATGTGAGTTGGTAGTTGTTAGGTTGTAATTAGAAGTTAGAAGTTGTAGATTTTATTTATATATAAGTGTTTGGCAATTAGCTTGTAATTAGAAGTTAGAACCTATAGATTTTATTTATATATAAGTGTTCGGCAAAATTAACAAAAATCTTTTAAAACGTATATAATTACATAAAAAGAATTATCTAAAACATATCATTTATTTAAAAAAAAATCGTAATTAATTCGATCTACAAATTTACACAATAGACTTTTTGTTAATTACTACTTGAAATGGTTTTAGATTTTGGCTTTTTTTATAGTAAAAGTTAGAAGATTTTACTGGTTAACAATTTTTTAAAGATTTTTCTTAAAATCAAAAAAGTAGAAAGCTCGTAAATTATATATGATGAACACACCCAAAATAATTTGTATAATTTATGATTATTTCTGAAACTTAATTTTGGGCGATATTAAACAAAAATAATAATATTTTTATTAGATTTTCCATTTTCTTCTTAAAAGATTCAACACATTTAGGTCTCGCTTGATGGTTGTTGATTGGGAAAGATCTGTCTGGGTAAGAAATCATGTTGTTTGATTGTACATCTAACTGAATGTGTTGAGTGATGAAAAATGATCATTTTACCCTTTTGTTATATATAGTGATGGATTAAGTTGCTGAATAATTATAAAAACATACATATTGTCATACAAAATGTAAATTACACACAAATAAAAAATATCATACAAAATGTAAATTAAACACAAATCATTTAATATCCAAATAAAAACATAATGAAATTTAAAATAACATAATAATTTAACGTAAAGTAGGCGAAAGTAGTTGATTTGCAATCTGATCACGCAAAACACGCATATATTCAATGGCTTCTGGACCCTATTCTATGCCTTGTATATTTTCTCTATCAATTCCCCCATCTTGGACGTCAAGAGTAACCATGGTGTCCTCCTTAAAATTTCTAAACAAGTCATCTTCTATATTGTATTTTCTTATAAAATTATGAACCACGACACAAGCAATAACTATGTCTCTTTGCACTATAAAAGGATAAGGAGCCATTTGTTTTATGATTGGGAATCTCACCTTCAAAATACCATAAGCACGCTCAATAACATTTATAAGTTATGCATGAGCATAATTGAACCTTTCTTCTCTAGTTAAAGGTCTGCCTCTTTGAAAATCGGCTAACCAATACCTAGTATTGTGGTATGGAGCCATAAACTCACGAGTGTTTGTATATGCGGCATCACAAAGGTAATATTTATATGCAAATGAATGGGACACGTATTATATACAGAAGATAGATAATAAAACTTATATAAAGATTACAAACCTGGTGGAGGATATGGAAATCCAGAAGTCGAATTGAATGCAACTTCTTTCAAAACTCTTGAATCATGTGTTATACCCTCCCATCCAGTCCAAACAAAGGTGAATATCATATCAAAATAAAAAATTCCTATTACATTTTGAAAACATTCTCCTTTTCCTCTTCTCCTATAACGAGTTTGTTGATCAATGGGTACAACCGCATGTACAAGAGTTCCATCTAATGCACCTATTGCTCCGGAAAAAATATTTTTAATCGTCTATGTCGTTCCGAGTTATGTCTTGTTGGATTAGGACTTGTTGGTACTATAATTTATTTTGCAAAGCGCATCATTGCAGTTATAACCTCGTGAAAACATTGATGAATCGTTTGTGTGGAGTGATGAAATCTTCCCTTAACCGCGCGAAAACGTTCGTTATGTCCTATAATATGTAAGAACATAGTCATCTTCTCTTCAATGCTTGTTGTTCTACTAGCTTGCAACAAATTTTTTTGGGTAAAATGGTTGCATAATAATGCAAACGCCTCGTGTAAGACGCATCATATCAAAACATTGAGTGGGGTCTCCGTACATCAAATTTTGCATATACACATACCCGCTTGAATCGTTATCTCTAATTCTATGAATTTTTATTAGTCTGCGCTGGTTTGACGTCAACCAATAAAACACAAGTAAAAGAAAAGCTACAACTTCACCATCAGAAACCATACTTGCCATGTTACAAACAATTAGGTAACATGTTAAAGTAAAAAAAAATCATGCACCAAAGTCATATAACAAAAAACTATTAAATAACAAAAGTCATATTCAATATCCAATAATATATCATTCAAACTAACAAATTCATATAACATAAGATGCGAAAGTCATCAAACATAGGATCTAAAGTAACCAAAAAAACTAGAAAACATCATCCAAAAAGTCATCAAACATAGGATCCAAAGTAACCAATAAAACTAGAAAACATCATCCAAAAAAGTCATCAAACATAGGATCCAAAAAACTAGTAACCAAACTTTTCTACCCGCGCCCATTAAAGGTAACCATACTTCCTACCCGCACCCATCATCCACGACTCACAACTAGTATGCAAAAGTTGTAACCAAACTTTTCGAACATCAACACTTTCACCAAATAGCAAAAGAGCGGTCTTGTGTCTTTCGTCTTCTTCTCCCTATTCCATTTTGTTCAATTTCTCCATACACACATCAACATCCTTATCCATTTCACTTTTTTGAAATCTTTCATTTTTTTTTCACTAACAACCTTTCAAGCTTGACAATCTCCTCTTCAACTTCTAATGCCTTTGCATCTCTTTTTTTCCCACCAACTCTTGTGTTTCCACCAACTTCCGTATGTTTTGAACACCCTGAAAACTCTTCACTTGCACCTATGTGTTGTGTTGAGGTTTCCATTGGAACATCATCATTAAAATCATGGGCACTAAACTCTTCTACAAGACGAGGGAGTGTAAAAGATGACCCCCAACTTTGAAAGCCGATTGAGGTCGACCCTTCAAATAGTTGGGTGCAAAGATCAGGAAACAGCAGGAGTTTAGTTTTCAATGGCAACATGTGCTTGTTCAACTGTTTACAATTTTTATAAATATTAGTATTTTTTTAAAATAATCATAACAATATTTGTTATAAAAATATTACCTTTCCCTCTTCCTTCCATTGTTCATCGGTCAGATTAAATTTATTTTTTATAGGATCATATATATTGCAAGTTTTGTTTTTCAGTTTCACCCAAGCAACATATTTTGATATGAAGTAGTCAAAGTGGTTTCTCATTTTCTTATGATCAACCTCTTTACCATGCTCGTTTATCAAATTTTCACGTATTGTCTTCCATGAACTTGCCTTAAGCCCACAACCCTCACGATCATTAGTGGTTACTTCGTGGATACAAACATCAAGAAAGGTTTTATCCTCACTCTCATTCCAAACCAGCATCCTAAAATATAAATAACAATTTTCTACCGAAATCAACATCATGCTAAATAAAAATAGCACAAAAAAAATTATGGCTTTCCTACCCCTCACAAATTCAGATTCTACACAAAAAAAATTCTATACTTCCATGGAAACATGCTTAATTCATGTTCTTAGATGCCTTTTATTCATGTTCTCCTTGAGTTAAAAACATATGATTTGGTAGTGGATCAATGATTTATTGTACGTTAAATGACTTTCCTATCCCTCACAAACTCAGATTTCATAAAATTAGAGCAATACACAAAAAAAAATTCTGAATTTATAACAATAACACATCTAAACAAAAGATTTTATAAACAAATTCATATTTCATAAAGTTAGAGAAATACAAAAAAAAAATTGACATCTTTATTTGAACATTGAAGCTTTATCATAAACAAAAACATCAGATAGATTATAAGTCTTAAAATATCTCACAATTGCTTTATCATAAGTTTTTATGATTTATAACACATTGAAGCTTTACACAGATAGAGCAATACACAAATTCATATAGATTTATAATAAACAACATCAGATAGATTTATAACAACATTAGATAGATTTATACATCCAAATTTTGACATCTTTATTTGAACATTGAAGCTTTATATAAAGAACAACATCAAATACGATAATAAGCAACTCCAGTTTGTGTGTTATAGATGCTCTTTATTTATTGAGTTCCCAAATTACCCTTATATAAAATAAGGTAGCTGAAGTGGGTTTATAGCATAAAATTGAAACGGGCCAGATGGATCGAAGTTGCCTTAAGTTTATTGTTCAGTATATTTGTGTTGCGTCTTGGGCTTTGTATTTTGTATACGGATTGGGCCTGTCCATCCGTGTCTATCTAGATTAGCTTCGTTGTTATCTAGATTAATTGTTAGGGTTATAGTGTATATATATATATATATATATATATATATATATATATATATATATGCATGCATGTATGCGTATATTAACAAGTTGTTCATTACGTTGATTCCTGTAACCCTAAACGCCTCTACAGATTAAAGTTCTTTATCGAGCTCTTCTGAGGTGTTATTGCATTAATCATTCGACATATTCAGAGCAATACTTGTGTTCTTTATTACACTCTTATTTAATATCTTGCTTAGAATCATACGATCCTAAAAGAACTTTGTTCTAAAAATTGGTATCAGAGTAGGAGACTGTGTGATCAATACACATTCCTTCTGTATTCGTAATACTTTAGGGTTTCCGCTTTTATCGTATAAATAGAAGTCGTCGTCTTCATAACGACGACAACTCTATTTTTGATAAAACCCTAATCTCAAGTTTACAAGTTTGATTCTAGCAGCTCACCATGTCTCACGATGATTCACATACAAACCACATTAACATCTCAAATAACATCGGATCAACAACCAGAGTACCCATACTCTATACTCAAGACTACGAAGTATGGGCTCATCACTTTGAAGATTACGTGGTTGGATCGGAAGATAATGGCTATCTCATTTGGGAAGCTATCACTCTTGGACCGTTTGCACATTCGGAGACAAACACAACTGTTAAGACACAAAAGGATTACAACAAGTTGGTGACAGATGTTCAGAAGATGCCACAGGATGAGAAGGACAAGATCTTGTGTAACGTTAAAGCCATGTAGATGATAATATTCGCCCTGCAATCTGACACCTTTTGTCTTGTAGGTTCATGCACAACTGCTAAAGAGATCTTTGATAGGCTGAAGGAACTTTACTCAACTGATGAAGATCTGGAACACTCCATTCAAACTTTGTTACTATCAGAATTTGGAGTTTTTGAACAGAAACCTGAAGAGAAGCTTGTACAGACCTTTGATCGGTTCAATCATCTCTTAAGTAAGATGATCAAGCATGGGATAGAGAGGAAGCTGATCGAGCAGAAAGTAACGTTCATGAACGGGCTGCGACCATAATGGATGGTTGTGGTTTCCACTGTGAAGGCGCATAAACAATTCAAATCGTACTCGCTGGTGAAACTAGTAGGGATACTAAAGTCCCATGAAAGTGTTGTAACTAAGGAAGCGAAAGTGGTCTCTGGTGTGGGATCATTGGCTCTTGTTTCTAAAGGAAAAAGTATTGTTGAAGAAGAAGAAGAGTCAAACATGTCAGAGTGCGACCTTACAAGTGAGGAGTATGCCTTGATGATCACAAATCCAAAGAAATTCGCAAGGAGAAAATTTCCCGTCAACAAGAATCGAAACTGGAAGGGAAGTTATAGTTCTGAGAAGATGAAGAATGAACCAAAAGTCTCCTCTCAAAAGGATGAAGAGAAAAAGGAGAACAAGCTTGCAGGAGACTCTGGATACGACTGCAACTATTGTCATGGCAAGAACCATTTTGCCAAAGATTGCATGTTGAGAAAGATGGCTGGGAAAAGAGAGGGTGAAGATGATGAGGCGTATGATATGCACAAATTAGAAGAAGTCAAGAAGAAAAAGGCATCCAACAGCTCAATGAATGTCTTAATCGTACAGGAGAATGCTGGGGAAGATGAGTTCGGTGGCGTAGAAGTCTGGTCAACCGACTCTGAATATGAAGAGGTTAGAAGACCACCTCATGGAAAGGCGTATGTGGCAAACAATGAAGGTTCAGGTGGAAAGTGGTTTATCGTCACTACTGGTCCATCAACCGAAAGTGCAGATATGTAGTCGAACCTGATAGAAAACAAATGTTTTGCGGCCAAGTTGGTGAGTGAGAAGATCAACGACTGCGATCGATTGATCAAAAAGGTACATTCTATTCTTGAGTCTCTTAAAATTTCAAAAGCTGATTATCAAGAAGAATTAAACGAATTAAACTTTAAATTTTCTAACCTAAGTAGTAGCCTCATGCAAACCTGCTTAGCAAATTCTAACCTAACTGACCAACTCGGCAGGGTGTCTTCAAAAAGTGAGGAGAGGAGAATCTGGATTGAGCTTAAGGAAGCAGAGTTAGTTAGGGCTAGGGATGAAAGTATTTATTTGCAAAGAGACAATTTAAAGTTATTAAAACAAAGAAATGTTTTCTGTTTAATTGCTAAGCGTCTTTATACTAATATTGCTCAATTACATTTAAATTGTGAAATTGGTAAGAAAATTCATAAGATGATTTTACCCTTTCTTGAATTTAAAGAAGATGGAGTTATAGCAGAATGTGAATCAGAAGTGTCCTTTGAAGAAACATCAATGTCGTATAGGCTAGGTTTGGATAAGATAGAAACTTTCATCGATTCTAAGGAACATAAAAGTATGTTAAAAGATATCTTAGATGAAAATGATAGGCTAAAGATTAAAACTGAAACTATACAAACATTCGATCTGTCAAATGCTAAAATTGTTAAGGATAATAAAATAAACTTAGATAATACGTCTGAATTCGATGCGGAAAGCGAGATGAGTGAAATCTCAGTAGAAGATGAAGTTGATTGATCTAAGTTTATGAAAAATGAAACCGAGAGTGAAAAACCTCTTATATCAGAAAACTCGGTTGAGTTTGCTCATCTATCAAAAGAACAGAAACCAAAACTGAAGGAAAAAGCCTTGGTCTATCAAAAGGTTCAGACTGTGCCAAATCAGGTTTATGCTAAGATTGGGGTCACTCAAAGGAAAACGGCAGAATTAAGAACAATAGTTGATGAAGATAACGTTGAAGGATGCGAAGACTATTTCTGGTCTGCTCCTATTGATAACGCAGACGAGACTGTGGGACTATCTGAGAAAGCCACATGGAGAGTCAAAGGTAGATACATACTAGAACCCATCAACAAACCCTCCAGTTTCGATATTCCAAGCACAAGTGGAACCAAAGATGTTCCTGAAGAACCAATGGTTGAACCTGATGTTCCAATCAAAAGGGAAGAACCAAAAGTTCTACTCAAGAGAGAGGAAGCACCGAAAGTTCCAACTAAGAAGAGTACAGAATCTAAAATAGAAGGTAAGACAACTGTAACTCAGAAGGAGAAACCAAAGGCCAGCTTCAATGTTCACAAATCTCAGAAGGAGCTAGCTGAACAGAAACGCCTGAGAAATCAAAGATACGCCACGAATCTGAATGAACGGGAAAGGCATTGGAATTCTCAAAATCCCAACTACGAGCCTCCCAGGAAAGAATCCATGGACAAGGGAAAGGAAAATTTCAGTCCAAATTCCTATTATTCCAAATCCCAGAACCGAAAGTCAAGTCTCAGTCCTGAACCCACTTTCGGTCCTCGACCCAGTTTCGGTCCTAGACCTAGTTTCGGTCCTAAACCCAGATTCGGTCCTCGATCCAGATTCGGTCCTAAACCCAGATTTGGTTCTAATCCTAGTTATGGATCCTCCAAGTCCCAAGATGAAACAAATTCTTTAAAGGACATCAAAGGAAAAGGGAAGTTGGTATCAGACGCTGAGAAGGAAAATAAGAAATCCTCCACTAAACCTAGGAAGCAAACGAAAAACACTAAAC